AAATGAACTTCTTCTTTCAAACTCTCCAAGGTTTGTTCAAAATTACCTTCAAGTGCACGTTGATTTCTTCCGCAGCTTTTTAGTGCATTGGCTCCCCCTCCTGTTCATTTGGTGTAAGCAGTAAACTGATCAAATGGTGACAGTACAGAAGTTTCTCAGCACTTAACCATGATTGCTTTTTGGAAGTGTTTTTTTCTGAGGCTCAAAAGAAAAAGCTATTTCTCAGGTATCACTGTGAAGGACACAATCTTTGTTCAATACATAATAGCTGTGTCCAAAACAGTAATAATACATACATAATAGCTGTGTCCATACAATAACTTTCAAGTAAAGTTGGTACCTGGGAACTTTAAAAACAGTCCACTACAGAGTTAAAAGATGTGTCAATTAAAGAGCATATTTCAATAGTAAAGTGCAAGAAGCTGCCTGCCATCAACCAATACAAAAGGAGTATCAATGCTAACAGTAACAGGTAAAATGAAGAAGGGAAAAACCAGATGGGTAAGCTAATCAATACAATTTGTACATGAGAATCAGAATTAATATCAGTCACTATGGCAAAAATCTGTGGAGTCAAAAATGTGGTACCTTACCTTTAAAAATAGCACTAGGAAGAACTCCAGATCTATTATCAATAGCAGGTAAACTGACAGACTAATTGGAAATAAAATGACAGTCACATAAGAAACATGGTAAGATATGGAAAAACCTGTTTTCCTTTCCTCTCTGTTCTCCAAGAAATTCAGGAGAAAATTTGGAGTAGGAGAAATGCTAGAAATGCCTTCAGGGAAAGGCTAGTCAGCATAGCCACATTCCTGCAATGAAACCTGGGGGAGAGCACCAGCTTCTTGGGGATATGCAGCTGACACCAACACTATTTTTAAAATTCAGTATATATGTGGCACATTTTTCCTACTTGCCTGGAAGCACTACACATCAGGGAATGCTCACATAATTATGCTGCAGGTCACAGCAAAACAAAAAAACAAAAAAACAAAAAAACAAACAACCTAAGACACAGTACAGGTAAAAGCCACATAAAACTCTACCTGCTTTAGTTAGCTATTGAAAAAGATCAATAAAAGGCAATGTCACACAGCTTAAGAACCATCAGACATGTTAAAAAATAAACTGTCACCAGGCAGTCCCGAGCAAATTTCTGCAGATTATTGTAAGGATGAGAAGCCTACTTGATGTTTCTGTCAACAGCTTTTGAGTGCTTATGACCAAAAGACTGGCAGGAAGGGGAAGATGCATTGGGAGAGTGGGTGATTCTGAAATGAACAAGGCAGGGGCTCACAGTGCCTGAGCAAGCTGTGGCATATAGCGTTAATGAGATGTGTAAACCAGCCGAGTAATGACTTCTGATCTCCACTGCCAGGTTTATTTTTATCCAAGACTGTTTAAAATTAAATGCATAAACAACCTGGAAAGAACACACCTTCTCTCCTGCTCCAAGGTATGTGTTTTGAACACTAGGCTATAGTTAGCTTCTCCTTTGGTTATTTTCTTTCTTTTGCATAATGACGTCTCCAACAGAGGTGTAAGAGCATCTTTTTCCCAGCACTTACTTTCAATTTGGTGGTTAATTCAGCCTTCTGGAAATTTGGGGATGTGAATCTGTATCCTGTCATAAGAAGCAAATATGCCATCCATGTCTCTTACCTCCTGTGAGACCTCTAACCAGAAACTAATTATTCAGAAGGTGACCATTGTACTTTCTGTATTTCAGATCAAAAGAACGATCCTGGAAAAAAACATGCAAGTACTTACATGCAAGCTCTGAATCAGGAGCAGACAGCAAGAACTACCTGGAGTCTTGACTCAGCCATTGCAGCGCTGGAAAGGGAGAGGATTTCACACCATTCCCCAGGATTAACATTTCCTACTGCTAGCTCTGGGCTGCTCCCCTCCCATAATAACCTGGTTTTCAGGACAGCAGTTTGAAACAGTTCAACTCATCCTATGCACAGTAACACAGAGTTCTGCTGACTTTGGCCCTGGAAGAGTTTTTAGGACGTGTTTTAGATAAAGACAAATGAGATTTACTACAGAGACTAGACTATCTAATAGTTCTTAACTATTAGCTGTTTAATTTTTGCTCTCTCCCACAGGAGAAGTATAATGTATCACATTAGTTTTGGATCACTGATACTGTATTAAATAAATACCAAAAAAGGAAAGTATTATATAACCCCACACAAGACTGGATCTATTAAAAAGAACAGATCTTTAACTGAAGTGATCGTCTACAATTGCATGCATGGACAGCTACAAATAGAACTTTCCCAAATTTAGCTGTTTGTAGAGTGACTACACTTGAATTGCTAGACTAAATAAAAAAGAGCTTCTGCATCACTGAATTTTATTGGGATACATAAATAATAATTTCTGTAATTTTAAAAGTATCCTACCCATCTCATTCCGATTTTGAAGTCATACTGTAAAAAAGTGTGCTTTTGAATTTTACCTTTTGTCCAGTCATTATTGACAATCTTCATACATTTGCATAACTGTATGTGAAAATATTACAAGACCAGTTTTAAAGGCATGCCCCCTATCAAATCTGTAAAGTCACCGCCAAGAAGCATTTTTATGGCATGATGCAATGTTTGGCAACAGTGCCTTGATTCCCTAAACCAGAACTGTAAAGGAACTACTGAAATACCAAGTGTCTACACTAATATCACCATCAGAAAGAAAAACACTAAACTTGCTACTTCATAGAACAAAGGCAAACCCCACTCCTCCTACTCTATAAGCTAGAAACCAAAGAACTAAAGCTTGATTCCACTACCGATCTGGATGCCTCCCTCTCACCTTCCAAAAAGCCCACCCAGGCACTTCCACTAACACTTATCTCAACCAAGGATAATCTAACCTTCCCTTTCAATATCCTTACTTCACTGATCTACTACTAGAAATACTATAGTATTTTGTTTGTCCACTGGTAAATGGCTACAGCAAATGTTATAACCTGTTGCTGTCTAGTGCTGTATACATAGAGGGAAAGATTAAAGGTCTGAAGGGTCTTTTCCCCAAAAACGTAAACAAGGGTGCATTCCCAGTCTAGAATTAAAAAGTTCCACTTTCTCCATCTTCAATGCTATGTATAAGCTGCACTTGTCTTTGTGCCACAGCCTCTGCTGCAGACTGAACAAGCCAAGCTACACTGTGTTCCCTACTTTGGACAAAGGATTGACTCTGCTTTCTCCTGAAGGACTTTTCCTTATAATGGATAACTTTTTGTAAATTGTTGCCTGTGCAGAACTAAATACCACCTTACTGCAAAATCCTCTTCTCTACAGTCCATTTCTTTGCCAGCTCAACTAGGGAAGAAAAGGAGCTTGGAGATCACAAAGTGATTTTTTAATATCATAAAGGTGGTGACAGAACAGAAAGTGTCACAACTCTCTCCCTGCAATCCACCATAATTGTTTCAGAAGACTGCAGAACTGGGTAAGGTTACATTCTGTATCTACAACTGCTCTATTAGAATTTTGGCACAGTGAAAGCTAAGTTCTGCATAGCCATGCAAGGTGCTATGATGAATATAACTTCTGAAAATTAGAACAGTCATTAACTACAACTTGAAAGTATCTGTTAACAAGCTCTTAGTAAAGAAGCTGCTGTTGGTTAGCATTAAGTCTACCTTTCTACTTGCAGGAAATGTTGCTTGCACATTTAGTTTGAAAAGAAAGTCACAAAACATATAGTAGCAAACATTGAGACCTGTTATCAATCTTAATTCTTTTCACTCATCAATTCTGAATAGCAGCTCTTTGGAAGTCAGTCATTAAATACACTGTTCTCAAGTAGACATAACTCAAACTCAGGCAATTCTACAGCACAGCTACAGCTTTCATGCTATTTTTTCTCCCCTGTCCCACTTGGGAAACAGAGCAAAAGTGTTGTTAAAGAGAACATGGACTGAAGAGCTTAGCTTTGCTAGTTCTAGTCCAAAATACTTTCTAACTTCACCAGACTTACAAGTACTTCTCAGACCAACTCCATCAGCATTTACTTTTTTGCCACGCTGAGCTTTTGCTTGTCTTGATTCCTAATGATGTAAAGCTAGACACCCAACTTTTCCCCACATTCCCACTGTTTTTCACTTATTTCAGACACATACAACAAGCAATTTAATTTTTTTAATTTACAGCATTGATTGCTCTGAGTTATGCCTTACTGTCAGTACACAGTAAACACATTTATCTGCATAATTCACTTAGTATGGAAAAAAATGCAGTTAAAACATTAGAAATATTGCTTTACACTGTGCGTAACAGAACTTCCAGAAGCAATGACATCTGCTACAGTCAGGCACAGAGGAAGACCATTTTCTTTTAGTCTGCCGGCACATTCATTCCTGTACCCCTTCATCCGAAATTGCCTGTAACAGTAGGTGAATGCTTCTGCTGAATTAATAAGATTTAATAACTCTCAGCTTGGTCTTTAGCACTTGTATTTCCAGAAAAAATGTTTTTCTGTTCTGTTCGTTACACCAAGAATGGCTGTTTTCAGAAGATTTACTGAACAAACGGTTTCAATAATATTTAAAAAACTGAAGATGTTTCTGAAGGAGGGTTATACTCTGTTGATGCATGCAACTGTCAAAAGTCTGGATAAATTAGGTAACATGCTTCCCCTAGATAAAAGAAAAGTGGCTGGGCACAATTGCTGTTTCACAAATAGTACACAAGTCAGATGAAATGCATTCTTACTGCAAGCCTTAGACAGATTAATATAGACCACAACACCTAGCACTGATTAAGTTTAGAAAAATACTACTTTGTTTTGGTTTTTTTATAGCCTTTGTTGTTTTGGTTTTTTTTTTTAAATCTTTAAAGTAATGTAACAAGATGTATGGTGGAAGATGCTAAGAACCACTCTGCTTTTTAATCTGGAAGAGTTGGTCTGTCAAAGTTATTATACTGTTGACAATTACTCATTTGATTGTTTATAGATATTTTTTTAAACAATAAAGAGGCAAGAAATGCTTATTTTTTTTTTAATTCTATGATCAAGAATGACTGAATATTATAGTCATTTAAATCAATCCAATTACAGTTTCCATTAAGCTAATGGCTGTCAAACACGCGTGTACTCCAGTGACCCACCGTGAGCAACGTTATCTGATGGGTGAAAGATTTTAAGGTTAAACACAGTATATGTAAAAATAGAAAGTTTAAAAACCAATCTCATCACAGACATTTCCATTGCCATCTCCTTCGTAAAATAAATAAGGCAGCAGGTAACTTTTACTTTGAAGTGGCATCTTTGAGGTATGCTATTAAGTCTGCTCTCTCAGACTTCTTCTTAATACCCGCAAAAATCATCTTTGTTCCTGGGATATACTTCTTTGGATTTTCCAAATACTCCATCAGAGTATCCTCACCCCAGGTGATACCTAGAAAGCAGAAAGAAGATAGTTATCGACTTAAAAATAACAAATACATTTATATTCTTGTCCTCCATATTATTTTACTTTTCAGCAGATTTCAGTATTTCTAAAACTATCACCGAGAACTGAGTATTTTGTACCTAATAACTTAGAAGAACAGCTTTAAATTTACCTTTACTCTTATTGGCATCTGTGTAAGAGAAGCCCTCAGCTTGTCCAGTCTTGCGTCCAAATAGGCCATGAAGGTTGGGTCCAGTCTTGTGCTTGCCTCCCTTTTCAACTGTATGGCACTGGGAACATTTCTGGACAAAGATCTTCTTGCCCTTTTCAATATCTCCCATTTTCAGTACTAGATCAAGAACACACACAGAGGTCAATAGTGCAATTTCAAGGTCACCTACTCAAAGCATACAGTTGGTTTACAAAACCATATATATAGTCTATCAGTCTAGTAACTCTCTAGCACACTTCCTATCCACAAGCTACAGCTCCTGCGTTTGAAGATTAGCATAGAATCATTAGAGTACATAAAAGGTGTCAAGGTGATAAACATGCTTGAAGATCAGGAAAAACCTTCCCTCACACAAAGTAATTGCCCCACAGCACTTAAACTGTATGGAAATGTTTTCTGAAGAATAAATTCAACACAACTTCCATATCTAGCTTATGTATCTGTAATAGGAAAGTTTTCTAGTCACGAATAATCCTGTGTAAAGGGACAGAACTGTTTCCATGTGTTTCTGCTTCAGCTTGAAAAGCTCCCCAACACCCCACCTTGGAAGGAGCCGAGGGCGGCAGGCACAAAGCTGGCCCGCTCCCCGCTCGCCGCGATGGTTCCCCAGCTCCCGCCAGCGGCAACGCTATTTCCAAGCGGTGTGGAGAGAGCACTCAAGGACAACCGCCCGCCCCGGCTC